CGCTCAGGAATGTGACGAAGAAATAAAGACAATCCAACAAGATTCATCCCTCCATATCGAAAAAATGCCCATCCCAGGCCTATCGGTATCCATTTACTGCGACACGTCAACAGGCACACCGCGGTCATTCATCACAGCCCCGTTCCGACGCCGCGTATTCGAGCAACTGCATAACCTCAGCCACCCAGGAGTAAAGGCAACCGCCTGGGATGTAATTAGCCGTCCAGAAATCCACGTTGTGAAAAGAAACTATGGTTTAGAACTTCAACTTTAAACTGTAATCCCACCAAAAATTCGAGCTGTGCAAATAAAGAAGTTTATGTCAGGATTGAATCAGCTAATTCAATTGCTAGAAAATGATAAACCAGCATCTGTGACCACAGAAAAACCTTTAATAAAGCTAACTGATGATGTGCCTATTGCGTTCCGACCAAGACGTCTAGCTTATGCATAAAGAATTCAGTTAAAGGCCATAATTGACGATTTATTGGAATCTAGAATTATAAGGGAAAGCACATCACCTTACGCAAGTCCTATTGTGCTAGTAAAGAAGAAGGACGGTACTTTGTGACTATGTGTTGACTATAGGAAAATCAACAAAAAACCCTAAGAGATAGGTATTCTTTACCCAATCTACGTGACCAACTGGAGGCTCTGGGTAAAGCAGTATACTTAACCACGCTAGAGATAATAATAATAATAATAATAATCTTTATTTAATCAATAAGTAAAATATAAATTTTATGGGTACAATCTTAACCTAAAAACTAAAGTAGAACTTAAAAATTAAATAAAAAGAAAGTAATCCCCACTAAGCAGGAAAATTGCTTATTGTGGTTGCTAATAATAACAAATTAATAAAGTATATTCTTTATAAAAACATAATTATTTTATATTTATAATGCACATATATTATATTATAAAGCATCCTTATAATATAATATTAATAATAATAATAACCTATAACCACCTATACTACAAATATATTATATAAAAATATGTCATATCAAACCTAAGAGAAGGTCCCATTTTCAATAAAATTTTCAATTTTATGTGGAGATTGTTTAAATGACCAGACTTTAATTTTTTTATTTGTTATGTATTAAGTATTTGTTAAAGAGATAGGTAAAAAATTGTACAGTCTGGGAGCTAAATAAGTATGAGATTTTGTTCCAATAGTTTTTGTTGCTTTTTTGTGCTGCCCTTTGTATTATATGCATGAGTTTTGGTGTATTTTTCGTTTTTAAATTGCCACTTTATTAATTGTTGGGCATATATTTGTCTAACATTTAATATGTTTTTTTCTTGCAAAAGTTGGTTACCCGAGTAGTACAAATCTTTTTTAAACATTATTTTTACAATTCTTTTATGTACCCTTTCCAGATTATTCAAATGCGTTTTAAGTATGCCTCCCCAGGCTAGTATCCCATATCCCAGTACCGAGTTTACAAGTCCATAGTAAGCAATCTGTATTTGTTTTTCATTTAAAATATTATTTAATTTCTTAAATGAATAGAACATTCAAATAAGCAGAATTCCACCAGATAGAAATTGAGGAAAGCTCGAAGAAATATACTGCGTTTGTGACGCCTGATGGACACTTTGAGTATAATAGGATGCCATTTGGATTTGCAAATGCCCCTTCTTGCTACCAGAGAGCAATTAACAAAGCGTTGGGTCCTCTTAAAGACAATATAGCTCAAGTTTATTTAGATGATGTAATGATTGCCTCTGAAACCGTTGAGCAGGGATTTCAAAACCTCAAACTGACATTGCGTGCATTGTCTAAAGCTAGATTTTCACTGAATTTGGATAAGTGTGTATTTTTTGTAAAAGAAGTTGAATATTTGCGTGCTGTTGTAGGAAGCGGGTCCATTAAGCCAAGTCCACGGAAAGTCCAGGCATTGATGAAGTCACCACCTCTCAAAGACATAAAAGGTGTTCGTCAATTTATAGGACTCACAGGGTATTTCTGAAGATTTATTAAAGGGTTCTCTACTATGACTTCACCTATTAATAGGTTGCTTCAAAAGGGCGTTGAATTTAAATGGGATCAAGAACACGAGACCATTCGAAAAACAATAATTGGAATTCTAATAAATCAACCTATTCTCAGAATCTTTAATCCAAATTTGAAGACCGAGCTACATACTGATGCCAGTTCAATAGGCATTGAAGCAGCTATTATCCAAAAGGAAAATGGATTCACCAGACCGATTGCCTACTTTAGTAGAAGAACCAATGAAACAGAATCCAAGTACCATTCATACGATCTTGAAATGTTGGCGATTGTTGAGGCGGTGGAACACTTTCGAATTTATCTGTATGGAATCCAGTATAATATTTTTACGGATTGTAATTCGGTTAGAGCCACAGCTCTAAAAAAGGACCTACATCCCAGAGTGGCTAGATGGTGGATGAAGCTACAGGATTACGACTTTACCATTCAATACAGACCAGGCTGCAAAATGGGGCATGTAGACTATTTGAGTCGAAATCCAGCAGTTAGAGTAATTAAGAGAAAACGCGAATCCAAACCATTGAGTCTTATTGAACACCAGACTAAAGACGAGTTTTGTAAATCTCTAAGAATAACACCACAAAAGGGGTTTGAAATTGATATCGTCTACTATACCCAAACTGACAAAAGTAAACATGACACAAAAAGATGCTTGGTTTTGATAAAGCTATCATTCGGATGAGAGAGGAATTGTACTGGCTGAGAATGGGAAAATGCCTAAAGAAGTACATTAAAAATTGTAGATCTTGCATTATTGGAAAGTCACATACAGGTCGAAAGATTGGGCTATATCAAAATGGTGAAAAGCCGAGCAAGCCATTACAATTTTGGCATATAGACCATGCCGGACCACTGGTCAAATCAAATAGTTGTATCGAGATACTGGTGGCAGTGGTCGCTTTTTCCAAATACGCAATGGTCCAACCTATAAAAAAGAAAACAACTGAATGTTCAATTGATGCGCTGAACAAACTATTCAGGAAAGTGGGAAAACCAGCGCATATAGTAGCAGACAGAGGACGACCATTTACTTCGACGAAATTTAGGAGCTATCTGGATGAACAAAACATAACCTTGCATCTCATAGCAACTGGTGTTCCTAGAGGAAATGGACAGGTATAAAGAATTATGAGAACACTGTTTAATCTAATAAGAAGCGTTTTAATAGCCGAAAAAGAAGCAAAGTGGACTAGCGTTCTACCACAGATTGAGGCTGTCCTAAACGAAACGGTAAATTCTACTACTGGTGCCACACCAAAGGCCCTCATGTTTGGTACAAAACAGAGGTGGACGGAAGAGGACCTGGACAATGTTAGAGAAAAGGCGGCAAAGGGAATTGATGAAAATCGGAAAATACAGGAGAAAATGTTTAACAAAAAGAGGTTAAAAGCAGTACCTTTTAAATTAGGGAACCAAGTTGTTGTGCAGGATACACAATTAGCTGGTTCTAGTAAATTGGGAGATAAATATCAAAGACCATATGTGATCCAGAATCTGTTAGCGAATGAAAGAAACGTATTGAAGCGAACGAATGGTCGTTCTAACGAAACCAAAGTGGCTGCTAATGAGCAACTGAGACTGTGGCCTGGCAATTAATGTAGTTTTTTATAATTTGTAATGTTTTTCGACCTTAAATGGTCAGTGTTTTTGGACCTTACATGGTCAATGTTTTGGGACCTTAAATGGTCAAGGTTTTTGTACCTTAAATGGTCAATGTTTTGAAATCTTAAATGGCAAATATTTTTGGGACCTTAAATGGTCAATGTTTTGGACCATAAATGGTCAATGTTTTGGGACTTTAAATGGCCAATGTTTTTGGACCTTAAATGGTCAATGTTTTGGACCATAAATGGTCAATGTTTTGGGACTTTAAATGGCCAATGTTTTTGGACCTTAAATGGTCAATGTTTTGAAATCTTAAATGGTCAATATTTTTGGGACCTTTATTGTTCTTAATATTAAGCTTTGATGCATCACATCCCAACAGCGAGGCCGGTCTTTTGCAGGATGGCCGTGTTATCGTTTGATATTATGTGTCATAGTAATATAATTGAGATAGTTGTTACTTTAGTAATATGTTATGTAATCCGTTCGCGACCGATGACTACTGTATTATGTTTAGTTTACTGTCAGTCTTTGTTCTGCGCGGTCGCGTTTAATTAAGTAATTAAGTGTAATTGTGAACAAGTCGGTCGAATAAATTTGTTAAGTGTCAGAATTGTTTTATTTGTATAATTTTTTGGTCGCGACACATTGAGTGGTGCGCAGTTTTTTACTTTAAACATAAATTTTTTCAAATTAACACCGAAATAAAAAAAATTCTAAAAAATATTGCCACCTTAAAAAACTATATCAAAAACGAATACCTAAGTAACGAAATTAACATTTTGCCAACTGAACTTTGCGTCCTTTTAAAGTAGCAAAAGTGCCAATATTGACGTAATTTTTAATAGCATTTTACAGTGGATTAACAGACGAGCTAAATATTTATTTCTGCAAACTAGTGTGCTTGTCGCCCATAACAACTTGTCGGTCGTATGACGTATGACATATTCTGGATACAATCACGGTTGTGATTTTAAGATTTTCTTTTATTAAAACTAATAATAGTTAATATTATTACACAAAAAATAAAAAGGGAAAAAACCTCTTTTCGTTGTAGTAAAAAAAAATACAAGTAAAAATTTTGCGCCCCTAAATTTCTTAAAAAGCTTGAGCCCCGGATCTACAGACCCCGGCGCTGTTAAATGCTATAATTGGTTGAAATAACACGTTTAATTATTTTTTAATTTTGACTTGCTGTCTTGTCGATATCACATATAACTTCATTTATTCGCTTTTGATTTACCCCAACATCCACCACAAACTTGTTTAATATGAAATTAAAAAAAAGTTAGCCTATAGAATATTTAAAACCTTATAGCCACAGAACGGTAACATTTTAAACAAAAGAGCAAATTTTACTTACATTATCTTAATTTTATAATACGTTACCTAAAGCATGCCCTTTCTGCGAAAAATGAAAACAGTCGTGTGTTATATAGGAAATATCAATAACTTCATCAAATGTTTGTTTGATATCTTTTGGAGCATTAAATAACTTCATAAAAGGTTGAATCACAACTGTAAAATCATCTTTCTTATCATACCTTCCACTAAATACCTTAAATGTTATAATATAATTTATATAATTTAAACTTAATTAAGAATGCATTACTAATTCCTCTTCAGCCTTTTGATATTCTTTGGTTAATTTAATAATTGTATCTAATTCTTTACCATCTTGATTATGGAAGCATGTGCAAAATAGGGTATGAAGAAACCGACACATCATTGTTCTCTTTATTCGTATACTAACTGACACATCTAAAAAATATAATATTAAGTTATGTTAAGATTTTATTTTTTGTTTTACCCAAAACAGACACAAGATTAACAATAGTTCTTGGTAAATTTTCTTGTAAATAATCTAAAGCTAAAGATAATTTTCTTATGTGATTTCTGCTAGATGCTTCTTCTTTATTGAAACACTGACCAGAGCAAATGTTATTAGCACCAAAAAATACAGTTACCATTTTCCAATCAGATTTAAAGTCAATTGATTTAATTTGCTTTATTTTATTTACTAAAATTTTTGCTTGTCCCAATGCATCTTCATCTGAAGCTACCGGAAAAGCGACATTTAAATGACTGTTATAAGACAAAAATTGTCCAGTTCCAATTGAGTATCCTTTAAGATTTGGATTAAATTCTTTTAAAATATTTGGTAGAGTTAAAAACTCTCTCCATGTACCTTCACCCCCTAAAAATCATTATTTTCTTTATTAAAAATACAATTATTATTTAGCAAATAGTACCTGCACACCACGATACTCCTCTATACTCTATCATTGTTCCGAGAGCCCATTCCTCTAAAGCTCCACTTCCAGCTATAAGCGAATCACCCAAAGCTCCTATAACATTAATATCTCCAGGACGAAGTTTGTGAACACTGTTAGGTTTATATCGTGATTTTCCTATTCCATAAAGTGTAGCATTGGCACAAGGAAAAGGCGTATTATTTGAAAATGCAGTCTGTTTCCTAACAACTTTGTTGGAAATATTTGGGTACTTAATTTGCAAATCTTGAAATTTATACCGCTAAAGATTAAAAATAATTATATATTATATAAACATATTTTCAAGCACTTTCGATTAAACTATATATATACAGGGTCGACATAGAGTAAGAGTAGCGTTATTCAAGGCGGGTCCTCTGGTTTAAATTTACAGGGTGATTTAATGTTTTGGTCATAATTTTAAAGAAGTCATATTTCGATTAAATATATGGGGCAGTCCACGCCAAATCGGCCAAGAGTAAGACTTCATGTTTCCGATTTGCTTTAAATTTTCAGGGTCGATAAAGGAACTAAAGTAATAGAGAAATCTAAAATTTCAACCTTTTTATGCATTTTTGTAGGTTTTACAAAATAAACAAAAAAAAATGTCACTTCTCTTATTTTTCGATTATTTAAAAACCCGAAAGACAAAAAATTTCGATAAAATCATATAAACATATTTTTTGACGCTCTTTAAGATAAAATAAAAATAAAAAAAATTTGTTAAAAAATTCTCAAAAAAAATCTATTTTTTTTTATTAAAGATTAAATTCCCAAAAAACGCCACCTCAAATTTAAACAAAAAAAAACATGTTAGCCGTAAGTTTTCCGTAAATTTTGACTACTTATTTTTGGGGGGACTCAAAAACTGTAGAAGTTATGAATTTTTTTGTAAAGAGTACAGATCCAAGCCTACGCGTAGCTACGCCGCGGCACGAGGTTCCGAGAGACGTGCGCTAGGTCTAACGCAGTTTTCATTAATATTTAACCAGTTAAAGACATACAATAATAATATATTTTTTTTTTAGCAATGGAATTTTAACACAACCATAAATATGTTTTCAACCAGTTTAAATTGTTTAAGTCAATGTAGCTAACTGCGACGTTTCCTGATTCTTAATAAAAAAACGAACCGTAATTTTAAAGTTTACTATCTCCAATAATTAACAAAAAGAAAAATATGGTGTAATTGAATTGCCGGAATGCACAACCGACGCAGCGCGGGGCCAGTAGGCTACTGCATGGAGACCGTTCAATTTCAACAAAATTCTTTAAATTAAACTCGCGATAACTCCTTAACTAAACGTGCGATTTTTATGAAATTTGGACAGAATACTTAGATTGGTACAGCGATGCTATTTAAATTTTAACCACAATTAATTAATAAATGCATCAATATTATTTAAGTCATAACTATGCTTAAACTAGTAGATGTTTATAAATTATATACATATATATATATATGGTTTTTTTTCTTGGTAAAATAAAGAAGTTTTTCTCCGAATTTGACAATTATTAATAAATTATTATAGCCGTAATACTAATAAATAAGAGAGCCTACGGCGGCGTAAAAAGCTTAATTGCAATAAATCATTTATTATTAGTAATTATTACTAAATGTGTTTATATTGCACAGTAGTTTTCTTAAATACCATAGCCTCGAATTGACCAAATATTATAACCTAAATATTATAAGTTAATAAAATTACTTTTACAGTTATAATATTTGGTAAAGTCGCGACGATGGTATTTTAGACATTTAATTTTTGCAAAATTTCCTAAGGCCTTCAATTTTAGCTTTAAATTAAATTATCCATCATTTTGTATAATAACATTAAGACGTGCACATATCTATACCATATATATAGATTCAAATGCAATGAATATAGTTATAGGTATAACATTAAAATAATTAATTACTTAATATTTCAATAAAATTGGTATTTTATTTATTCAGAAAACTACATATACCTATAACTTATAAGTATAACTATAGTTATAGGTATATGGTTAGAACTATAAACCCGTGTTCATGATTTGCATATTTTAATTTGCAATAGCTGCAAAATATGTAAAACATTGTTATTGTAATAGTAAGTTTTTTTAAATATGTTAAGCTTTTCTTAAATCGGTTAAAAATTCTTAATTTGCGCATAGAAGTTATTGCTAAACCATCGACAATATTTTAATTTGAATGTTTCGTTTTTTTAATAAAATTTAATTAGAAAAAGAGAAAGAGAGAGAATCGTTAAACCATTTTTTCTCTGTAAGACCGAGCTCTCGGAACCGCGCGCCGCGGCGCGCCGAGGCGTAGCTACGCGTAGGCTTGGATCTGTAGCGACGATTACACATGCATTTCTTTACAAAAAAATTCATAACTTCTACAGTTTTTGAATCCCCCCAAAAATAAGTAGTCAAAATTTGCGGAAAATTAAGGGCTATCATCAAAATGATTTTTTTTTTTGAGGTGGCGTTTTTTGGGAATTTAAATTTGAAAAAAAAAATAGATTTTTTTTGTAAATTTTTAAACAAAATTTTTTTATTTTTATTTTATCTTAAAGAGCGTCAAAAAATATGTTTATATGATTTTTTTCGAAATTTTTTGTCTTTCGGGTTTTTAAATAATCGAAAATTTTTATAAAACCTACAAAAATGCATAAAAGAGGTTGAAATTTTAGATTTCTTCATTACTTTAGTTCGTCTATAGACCCTGAATTTTAAGCAAATCGGAAACATGAAGTCTTACTCTTGGTCGATTTGGCGTGGACTGCTATATATATATATATGCAATCCTACATTACCAAGCCCGAAACGTTAAATTCTACAGTATAAACGAAGCCCACTCTGTTTTTACGAAGCCCGAAGTCGGGCTTCCTAAAATTAGCGTGTATAAATTTGTTTTAGAGTTAAGTGATGCCCCCTTGTTTCAATGGCGAAAAAGTGGTGGGCTTCCTAATGCCATTCAAACCTATCAAAATATACACCCTTAGTTCCAATGCTTTGGCGGTAGGGGGCACACGAGTCAAAGGAGATTATATACAGCTTTGTATAAGTATTACGCAGTATACGAAGCCCGTACATCTGGCAACAATGGGGGCTATACGCTCGATGACTTTTTGATATAAAGGCGGGGAAAATAATGCGGGATTCTTAAATTTGTATCTACTGATTTTCAAAATAAATGTTATATTCCCAAAATTATGTTTTGTTCACTACATGACGTGGACTAAAAGGCAATGTTTTGTTAAATACTTTCGTAATACACTTAATTTTAAAGAATTATTTATTTTTAAAATATTATTTGGAGTGCATTTTTCTTTGGGGCGGTTTTACAAGTTGACCAGATATTTTACATAGTTTTAATTGGGGAAACAAGGGGATTTGTATATATTATTATTATTATTATTATTCAATGTAACATTTAAATAATTTAAATAAAAATAATTTTTAATTTATTTGAAACATTTCCAATTTTAATAAAAATAATTTTTAATTTATTAAAAAAATTTCCAATAGCCGTATGAAATAAATTAAAAATTATTTTTATTAAATATCATTTTAATGTAACATTGAATTGCAAAAACTGCTTTTTGACAGATAGCTTCTCATGGCAATTTGTCAATTAACATTTATACAATTTATTTATACATGGCAAACAACGACCAAACGACCAAACAACAATAAGAAATTGGGTTCTTTATTTGGATAGTGCTTATCTAAAAGGAACCAAAAACTTGTTCGGAGCTTAACAAACTTTTTTGTATATACCTAACTCATTTTTAATGCTGCTCAAAAACTTAATTATAATTTGAGAGTCCTCTCAATAATTTAAAAGAAGTTCTAAATAATGATAAACTTTTTGAGCATTATTAAAAATGAGTTATTTTACAAAAAATTTTGTTAAGTCCAAAAATAGTTTTTGGCGCTTGGTTCCTTTTAGATAAGGATTGTCCATTTAAACTTACCATTACAATATTATTTTATCAACCGTTTTGGTTAACGTAATATTTTATCTACGATTTTTATTGGATAAAAGGCAGCTTTAGCTTTATAATGTAGCTATAAAACAATATTTGGTTGGTAATACATTTTTCTTGTTTATAGGATGCTAAACTAAATAGCAATTTTCCCCACATTTTTCAACTTTTAATTTGGTTTAGTTTTCCTAAATTTTCCCAACATTTATTAAAATGGATATAGCCGGTTTTCCACGGATGCTCCTCAACTATGGTCTAGGTCTTTTAAATTAAATTTGCCTAAATTTAGACAATATTTTTAAATAATGACTTATAATTCATTCAATAAAATAATAGTTTTTATTAAAATAATTATAAATCACACTATTTTTAAATACACTGCCCTACAAAATTATTGCATAATAAATAAAAAAAATTAACTCTAAAACGCCTTTACTAATCTTTATGAAATTTTGGATAAAAATACTTCAACTTATATCTCAATTTACGTGTTCAAGGGTTTTTCGAGAAAATATGTTTACAGCCTTTTTATTTAATAATGAAAAAAAGTTCGAAATATAACTTTTAGGGAATTTTTTTAAATAAATAAAAAATATGCTGTTAAAGAGTTTATTTTTTTTAGTATACCCTGAAAATTTTGTACAAATCAAGCGAACAGTAACGAAGATACAGCGCTTCAAAGTCGTGAAAAATGACCACTTTTCAGCAAAATAATCAAAAAGGCGTCATTATTTAGATTTTTTAGAATTTTTGGTGTATTTAAATCTAATAATTTAAAAAAAAACTAAATGTCTTTATAATTCATGAAAAAAATATTCAGTCAGTTTCACTTCTTTTGATTCCCATTTAAGTTTTACACAAATAATTCTTATAATAATTATAATTATTGATATATTTGTATATTTTTTATTAACATATGGAAATATATTTTTTAAAGGCTTAACTTTTAAACAAAAACAAAACGCATCCATGTCATTTAAGAAAAAATGTTTATAATTAACCCAGCTATCATCTGACAAAGTTTGCCATAGAGCTTGTAGAGCACCCTGTATAAGATATTTAAACCTTTTCAAAATTATGATGTATAAACAAAATAAATGAAATGTTTATACCTATAGGTACCTATTCAACAATACTTTTAAATTATTATAATATAAATAAATATAATTTAACGATAATTATTATTATAATAATTATAATTCAACAATATTATTAAATATTTAAGTATACCTAAGTCATTATTTAAGAATATTGTTAAGTTTAAGTATCGAGTATCGTCTAGGTATTTTAAATCAAATTTGCCTATAATTATAAATTTAGACAATATTTTTAAATAATGATTTTTAATTAATTTAATAATAATTATTATTATAATAATTTTTATTATAATAATTATAATTCAGCAATATTATTAAATATTTAAGTATACCCACGTCATTATTTAAAAATATAGGTTAAGTTTAGGTATAGTCTAGGTATTTTAAATCAAATTTGCATATAATTATAAATTTAGACATTGGCAACACCGCAGGGCTTCTGATACACAGCGGAGTGTGTCTCTTGTTGTTTATGCACCAACGAACAGTTAACCGCCCCGTCCCGCATTACCGGGCTTCGACTAGCCTGTGTAATGCACCGGGCTTCGCATTGATAGCCATGCATGTATATACATATTCAAGGCGGGTCCTCTGGTTTAAAGTTACAGGGTGATTTATTGTTTTTGTCATCTTTTAAATGGATGGCCGGAATCGACCACAATTTGGCATGTTTATTTTAGCGCGAAAGTATAATACAGCAGTTTTCATCTAAAAAACCAGCCTGTATACTTTTACTTTAAAATATATTTGTACATATGGAAGTTATATTCAAAATCCTACAAACTTGTTTTACGCAATTAAAGTTTTCCAGGAAAAAAATAATAACTGAAGGTACCTATTTACATGATTTTAATTTTGCTATTTAATTGATCTCATGTCAAGTTATAAAGAGTTATAGGTTGAGTTCTGATATTAAATAGTGCAATAATTAATCAAGTTGAAGAAGTCAAGACCATACAATTAATTTGTTTTGTGTTCTTATTTTTGCTGGAGGACATTATTCTGTTCAAGAAGCTGTAAAATTAAGCAGGGGCACATTTGTTTAATAAATAAAAAACATGAATGCTATCTGCAAAATCACATGCACATGACTTTTTCACCACGAAAAACTCAAAATTACTCATACCCAGTGGGGTCTGGCAGGCCAAGCATGGGTACACATCGTTGGGGTTCCGTTGTTATTCCGTACAATTACGAGGAAGTGAGGGGGAGCTTCGCCATGTTGGAACCTTTAATTAACGTTCTCGTTCCTCAACAATGCAAATAGTTTATTTTGAAAAAAATTACCGTAGACTTCCCCAGTTAACCTTTCCTCGAAAAAGTGAGGTCCAATTAATTGGTCGCATATAATTCCATACCACAAATTCAATGAAAAATATGTACTGATGATGTGTTTGTCTCATGGCATGATAATTTTCCCAAAACCATAAATGTTCATTTCTGTAGTTGAAAATCCCATCCATGGTAAACTAAATTCGATAAATGTTCATTTGTTGGTAGATCCAAAGGCCCGTCTAAGAACTTATTCCATAAGGATGGACGGACTGCACTGCAGCGCTAATCCTTCTGGTACTAAACCATGAATTATGTTCCACAATTTTAGTAATGTTCTCCGCCTTAAAAATTATAATTTCATGATACTGTACCGAGATATTTGATAACATACACCTAATCTTTATCCTCTTCTCTTATAAGGTTGTCTTTTCTTCCAGCAGAGGAAAATTTTCCATATTCCATAAGAAACTAAAACACGTTCCGGAAAGTTTAATGACTCGGTGCACGACGTTCAGGAAACAGCGTTTGATATTCCCTTTCAGCGACTCTTCCATTACCGTAAATAAATATTATGACTGCACAACAAAAAACTACCGCAGAATTAACGAAATAAAAAAGAATTTACCACGGTAATAGTTTGTCAAAAAGTTTATAATTTTTACGTTTATAATTTTGAATAATGCATTCAGAAGAATAAGTTTGAGTTTCCTACTATCGTATGAGTCTTTCAAATTAAAAATATTCTACAAATATTAACTTTGAGACAGTTAAAATATTATCAATATACGATACTACACATAAATTACAAAGAATTGATTGCTAAGATCTACCATGAAAGATTTTTTTTGAATACTTAGTTGGTAAGTATTTTTTTAAAATGTTTCAAAGTTGTTCTATTTTTTTCGTTAAAAACGGTGTTCGGTGAACCGTGTATCCCTCACGTGAGATTTTAGCCATTAAACTTTCTTTGCCAGTAAATGTTCTAAAAATTGCATGCTTATATTCAGCCGAAGACGCTAGTGATAACCATGTACATTGTACAAGGTTCTATGAGTATATTTCAGTTTAAATATTATTTGAAGCTGGTGTTCTGTAATCAATGCTTGCTGGGAAGCGCGCAAAGCGGGCTTCCCTATCGCACGAGCAGTGGATCGCAGAAGTGTCACAAGGAGGGCAGCTAGGGCAACTTCAAAGGTATGTATGGACTTGTAATCGAATTTTAATTTTTTCATTTTTTGTCCGTTGTCTGTGAGTCTGTCCGCCGCTTTTCTTCGAACCGCCGCGGCGTAGCTCGGAGGCCGTTGAAGGTGGACACTTGAAATTTTTACCCTTTTTTTCTGCCCACGAGACCTATCGGTGCACCGCGGTGGACCAAATTTTTCCGGTGCCGAAAAGGCCCAAGTCGATTTTTTTTTTCATTTTTTCGTCAAATTTGGCAGGTTCCGTTGAAATCGCTTAACTTTTGAACGAGTTGAGATTTTTTCACTAAACTCCGGAAAAAGGTGCTTCGAGACGATAATTCGTTTCGTATTGCAAACGGGCCGGATCCGCCGGAAACTTTTCAAGCAGCGATCTCTTTTGATTTTTTTCGAAAAAAATTTAAAAGTTTTGTAGGGCGATAAAAATTTTCGAAATTGGCCAAGCGAAATACACGAATCGACGGGTAAAAGACCAAAGTTTGACATACTAAAAGATGAGCTTCATCGAATAAAAACTAATCGGCCGAAAGCCCGTTTAAATTTTCTTCGGTATTTAAAAAAGTTAACCAATTAAAATCTCCGAAATCAAATCGAAAACAGGGAGATCAAAAAAAATATTAGGTAACAATGCGGCATTGCCAAATTTAATTGTGGTGTTGCTTAAATTTCTCAAACGTAAAAGATAATTAATGAAATTCGTTTATCGGGTGGATCTTTGAATTAAAGTCGATTTATTTTTTTTCGCATATCATACATATACCGGGGAACCCAACAAAGTATTCAGCAACACTTTGACAGATGTCAAGTGAACAAGTGACAGATGTCAAGTTGACAGATGACAGGTGACAGATGACATGTCACAGATAAAAGGTGACAGATGACAGATGACAAATAACAGGTGTCAGGTGACTGGTGGCAGATGACAGTCGACAAATGGAAAGGTAATTTTTGATCAGTCTAAGTGGAGCGGTCGCGGCGCGATTCCCACCTGCAGCGAGCACCAAGCTCAGCTTGTTTAATTCCCTTGCGTTATATGGCAGCGTCTAGTCCTCTTATGACAAATGCTGTATGAACCGCCATATTTTAAAACAAAAAAACGCAACCAACAATACATCTGCACTAAAAAAACTAACTATTCGTTAAATAAACATTTAATCAATATGTTGAAAAGTTTAAAATGATACCGTTTTGGCTTTTATTAGAATCTCTAGTTGAATTATATAACGTCATTTTGATTTTACGGTTTGGTACCTTATGTATTCTCGACTGCGACACGTTCAAACCCTGAAATTAAAATTGACAAGGGCAAATCAGCGCCATTAGCTCAAGGCGTTGTTAGAGCTGAAGTGGGTGCACCTCCGGCGTCTTTAGATTCAACAGGTAAAGCGGCAGGTCTTTAAGCCTAGTTGGGAAGCGTGCTTCCCTATCGCACGAGCAGCGGATCGCAAAAGTGTGACAAGGAGGGCAGCTAGGGCAACTTCAACTTCGACTCGTAATCGAACTTTTATTTTTTTATTTTTTCTGTTGTCTGTTAGTCTGTGTATCGCTTTTTTTTCAAACCGCCGCGGCGTATTTCGGAGGCCGTTCAAGGTGGACACTTGAAATTTTTACCCTTTTTTTCTGCCCACGAGACCTAACGGTGGACCAAATTTTTCCGGTGCCGAAAAGGCCCAAGTCGATTTTTTTTCCATTTTTTCGTCAAATTTGGCAGGTTCCGTTGAAATCGCTTAACTTTCGAACGAGTTGAGATTTTTTCACCAAACTCGGGAAAAAAGTGCTTTGGGACGATAATTCGTTTCGTATTGCAAACGGGCCGGATCCCCGGAATTTTTTTTTCCGAAACCATAACGAAAAGGGGCAAACAAATTTTGACGAATCGAGGGGTCATCTGTCATCTGACGTAGGTACTAAATGATGAACTTCATCGACTGAAAACTAATCGTCCGAAAGCCCGTTTAAATTTTCTTCGGTATTTAAAAAAGTTAACCAATTAAAATCTCCGAAATCAAATCGAAAACAGGGGGATCAAACAAAATATTTGGTAACAATGCGGCGTTGCCAAATTTAATTGCGGTGCTTTTGCATAAATTTCTCAATCGAAAAAAGATAATTAATGAAATTCGTTTATCGGGTGGATCTTTAAATTAAAGTCGATTTATTTTTTTTCGCATATCATACATATACCGGGGAACCCAACAAAGTATTTAGCAACACAGATGTCAAGTGAACAGGTGACATATGTCAAGTGACAGATGTCAATTTAACAGATGCCAAATTGACAGTTGACAGGTGACAGATAAAAGTGACAGGTGCCAGATGACAGGTGGAAGATCAGAAATGACAGATGACAGATGACATGTGACAGATAAAAGGTGACATGTCAAGTTGACAAGATGACAAATGACAGGTGACATGTGACAGATGAGAGGTGACAGGTGCCAGATGACAGGTGCCAGATGACAGGTGACAGATGTCAAGTTGACAGATGACACAACACAGGTGACAGATGACAGATGACAGATGACAGATGAAAGGTGACAGGTGAAAGATAAGAAATGGCAGATGACATGTGACAGATTACAGGTGACAGATGACAGGTTGCAAATGACAGATGACAAATGACAGGTTGCAAATGACAGGTGAGATGACAATTGACAGATGACATGTAAGAAATTTAAAATTTTCTTTAAAATAACTATCCAGTTTCATTATAATATGCATGTTTTAATGTGTGCTTTGATTAATATTAAGGAATTTTATTTTATAAAATAATATATTATATATATACATATATATATACATATATGTAATACCGAGTGACCACTCGTTTTATGGTAAAACTAGGTCACTGAGCCCGTTTTTGACAAAATTTTTGACCTGAAGGCCCTTGGGATAATTTTGGTTTCCAGATATCCGAGTTTTATAGTAAATCGACGGCAGTGCTACGTTGTCATTTTTTGTAAAAATTAAAATTGACAAAACAAGCGAGATTTAAATGATTTTAGGGGGATCAAATGCGTTTCGGTCGCTACGCGACCGAAAGTTCGACTAGCCACGTTGGACCGGATTTCTTAAATTCTTTTTAATTTTTCAAACGTGCCACGTTGCCAGGTGGACCGGTCGCGGCGCGATTCCAACCCGCAGCGAGCACCAAGCTTAGCTTGCTGAACTTATCCTGGAAAATGTGGTAACAGCTTTTGGAAAAACTTAACTCATGTAGTTTATAAGAAATCTGTAAGTGCAAGTTTTACGTCCAATTCCCGTTCAAGCGTTGTGTTTTACTTAGTTTTTGTAATCTGCCTGCATTAGGACAAAAGGGAGTCTGGGTATGCTGAATTAAATAGGTGCAGTAGCGACATAAAAAAACAAATAGCCAGAATATATATATATATAGTATGGTTCCCCCGACAGTAGGGCGAGCGTAGGAAAACCATTCGTTAGCAGTGTTGTAAATTATGCACCTTGGTTAGCTAGTATAAGAGATTTTCGAAGTAATTTGGCGCCACTACTATACATTTCTTTTTTCTGCCATGAAGGACAGGCGGAAAACTTGCATTTATGCTCGTATAGTTTTTAATTTAATCGATTTTTATTTATTTATTTGTTCAATAGAATGAGTGGTTTTGTTTTTATTGCTGGGAATAATTATCGTATAACAGGATTGTTGGGTGGGGTAAAATCGTACTTGTCTTATTACTATTTATAAATCTACTTAATTTAAGCTTGGGACATAAGAGTCCTGAAGAAAAAGCTAAATAAACCAAATAATAAGCAAACAAAGCATGCATAATACGCCTAATACCGTCCACCTACCTTGTTTAAAAAACCACAGTGTAATAAAAACAATGAATAGAGAAAGTTAACTTGTGATAAGTTTAAAAGACCAAACTAAACCAAAACAAATTGTAAAGAAGCAAAATAAAAATTATACAACGTACCCTACGATTTACCCGACTATCACCTCTTTTGGCCAAATTTGACAACACTGCTTGCGCTTTCAAGATATAAATTAAGTTTCAAATCGCACTGGGTTACTGTCGTTTTCATTAGTGTGGGGTACCACCCCTTTGGGCCCATCACAATGTATAAGTTTTTTCGTCATGAGGTGTTTGTTTTTTTAATGGGTCTTTTTTGTTATTATTTAGAGTGCTTGCTGATAAATTCGCTTGGGGAGTCTTTGAGGGTGCTTATAACTTCTTTTTGTGTTTCGTTAACTCTGTCTAATGGTGTTTATGTTCTTTTGGTATTGTGTTGTCTATTATTTATTATTTTACTTGATATACATGAAATGAAATTCATTTACTTGATATATATGAAATGAAAACCATTTTTTGTTGTTGTAGCTTGTGATTCTA